TTACAATTTACTCTTCTGTTTTATAGATTTCTTTTCTGTTTGTAGAAAAAATACCAGCTAAATGAATTATATTAATGTTTTATTCATTTGAATGTTTTGAGAGGTTAAACTAGTGAAAAAGCCTGAATTATAGACTTTTTGAAAAAAATAGTTTTATTACTTTGAAATGTACTTCTGCAAACTTGAAATATATAGACCTTCTAGGAACTACTTAATTTATGAAATTATTTTATATTAAATCAATACTTTTAGAAAAATTTAATTTTCCTAAGTGCTTAAACTTTTTCTTTGATTGGTTGGAATCATAAATTTGCTTCACAAGTTCTTGTTTCATATATATTATTAAGTAAACTGTAATCTAGCTTTTGTCCAGGCTGCAATAAATTCTGCTGTGCGTGTGTCTGAATTAGTGATGTTTTCATATAACTTAAATATCTTTGTTAAAGGCTAATTTTGATGATCTCTGGAGAAAATTTGTTACCTACTCATCTGGGGAGCAGCTTTTTGGATTGCCTGTGACTGACTATGAAGTTTTGCACAAAACCAGGTAAGTTTGGAAAATCTACAAACATTACAAGTGCAAATAATTAAGTATAGCCCATTAGCAGAATTTCATGATGAAATAAATGTGACATTTTCTGAAGACAAATTAATGATTCAGCTGTTTAGGATAGAGGTTTCTATTAATTTTCCTTTTCACTTTTTTTTCTAAAGCAATACATTTTCAAGTTTATTCCAAGTTCAACTGTAAAGGCAGAACAGTACTTTGTTGTTGTTATGTGCCAGTGCATTGGCTATGGTTCATAGTGACTGTATGAACAATAGATCGGAATCTGAACCCTGCCCTCTCCTGTGGTATCTTCACAGTTTCTGCTATGCTGTCTATACTTATAGTCTCTGTGCCAATCCACCTTTTGGAGGGTCTTTTTCTCTTTAACTGACCCTCTATCTTTTCAGCCTGATATCTTTTCCCAGGGACTGGGCCCTTCTGACAACATGCTCACAGTAAGTAAAACAAAGTTTCATTGTCCTTGCTTTTAAGGGCAGTACTTAGTCAAGAGAATCATCATTAAATGTCAACTTGTACTTAAAAATTCCTTGTGAGAAACTGGATAGTTTTTCCTCTTTATAAAATAATCAAATACTTTGTTAACTTCAAGTCATTGTCATATGATTTTGGAATATTTGAGACCTATCACTTAACCTTATTGATGGAACTTTAGCTAAGTTTTCTTACTATAAACTGATACAGTTGAAAGAATGTATTATCTTTAAGAATCCATGTTGGAAGTCTTCTGGAGCAGCTGGAATCTACAGAAGTTTATTTTCTTATTCTGGCGAGTTCTTGGTCAAACATTCTTCTAAGTGGTATTGCACTGGTCTGTCCATTTGCTGTATAGCGGTAACTTGTGGTTGCTGTGATGCTACACACTGTGACACTGATGCATTCAAGGCAATAATGTTTACCAATGGTGGAGAGTGTTTGGTGGAGCTCCCCAATTAAAACAAGCTTGGAAGCAGGAGTGGCATCAACTTCCAAAATAACTTGCCTCCAGAAACTATGAACGTGGAGAAAAGAAAGTTATACAAGTATTCAGAACTTTAGTTTATAGGGTTGCTATGAGTTGTCTACGATGTGATGGCACTTCACAACAACAACAACCACATAAGATATCATATATATTTATGAGATATATAATTGGGTCAACTATGGCTATCTGATAATAGAATTCATTACAAATAGAAACTAAATCCTGTTTGATTTACAGTCTCTGAAAACCTACTGAAGAGTCAATCATGAGTTAATTCTGACTCAGTGGCAGTGAGGAGGAGGAGGAGGAGAAAAAGGCGGAGAAGGAGGAAGAGGGAGAATAATATATTGTGACTTTATTTTATTTTGTTTTCCAGAAAGGAACTCAACTTACTACAGAAGCTGTATGGACTCTATGACACTGTCATGGGCAATATTAGTGGTTATTATGAAATGCTTTGGGTAGATGTAGATATTGAAAAAATTAATGCAGAACTTCAGGAATTTCAAAACAGGTGAGTTTTAATAACATTAAACTTAACTTTATTTGGAGCTCTGGTGGCCTAGTGGTAAGAAACTGCACTACAATCCCAAAGGCACATGGTTCTAATTACCAGATGTTCTATGGGTTTAGTCCCTATCTTCTTAGGATATAGATATTTCACAAACTGAAAGTATGTGTATGCATATAAAATTTTATTCAAAGAAGCATATGCTGCTCTTATGCACTATTGAGTTAGAACTGACTGAAATTGACCATCTATCTAGTGGGTTTTCAGAGACTTAGATCTTAGGGGAGGAGATTGCTCATCTTTCTCTTTCAGGGCAGCTGTTGGATCTGAACCACATGCCTTTGAATTGGCAGCACAACTCCTTACTGCTAAGCCACCAGAACTCACAAAGCATATAAGTTAAATAATCCCCCCCGCACCCACCCATTTCCTTCTCTGAAAGGTGTCGCAAACTTCCAAAAGGACTTAAAGATTGGCAAGCTTTCTTGGATCTTAAAAAAAGAATTGACGATTTCAGTGAGTCATGCCCTCTGCTGGAAATGATGACCAATAAGGCAATGAAACAGAGACACTGGGATAGAATCTCTGAGTTGACTGGAACCCCATTTGATGTGGAATCGGATTCTTTTTGTCTTAAAAATATCATGGAAGCACCACTCCTTAAAAATAAGGATGACATTGAGGTACATAAAGTATATAGATTAACTGAATAATTTCTGCTTATTCTAAAATTAGTACAAACATTTTATTAGAGGTGATGCTAGTTGTCTTTCATAGTAGTATTTTTTCAAAATTTGAAATGATCCCTGAAAATCTTGGCTTTAAAAAAATAGCCTGTAACTCAAGGAGATAGTAAGATTGTTCTACATAGATTATTTGTTTTAGAGCCCTCATTCTTAACAGAATTCCTAAAATTGTTCATAGGACTATTTATTACTATGTTATGCTATTGGTGCATTCCTCAGAACTGTTTTCCAAATTTCTAGTTTTCATTTCCTCCTATGTAATGTATTACATGCATTATTTTTATTATTATGTTTTCCATAGTGTTAATTATTTTGGTGTGTCTGTCCTCTTTTTCATTCCTACTTTGTTTTATTTTCTTTTTCTTAAAATTTTGTCATGGTCCTTCTTATATCTTTATTCATCTCCTTGAGCACTGACTACAGTTATTTTTAATATTGTTAGTACAGAACATTTCAAATGTATGCAGAAGTAGGGATCACTTTCCTTCAGCAACTGTCACCTCATAGCTGGTGTTTTATCCAGACCTCTCCACACTCTGGTAGTTCTAGTTTGAACATAGCTTAACATATTTTCTTCTCCATATTACTCTGTAAAACTAATTTCCCCTGGACTGGGTTTGATTTTTGTGTTGACTGTCTCTCTGGGCACCTTGTTGTTGCTGTTGTTGTTGTTATGTGTCATTGAGCCGCCTGCTACTCCTAGCAACCCCATGTACAACAGCCCTAAACCTTGCTCTATCCCTTGCCAATCTTATTGTCTTTGACACACCTATCCCTATTACTCCAGTGCCTGAATCAATCCATCTCATCAAGGATCTTCCTCTTCTGTGCTGCCCCTCCACCCTCCCAAGCATGACGTCTCTCTCCAAGGACTGACCCCACCTTTCAACATGTCCAGAGTATGTCAGACGAAGCTTCAGAATCCTTGCCTTCAGGGAGCTTCCTGGCTTTACCCTATCCAGGACAAACTTTAGTCCATGGAATATTCAATACTATTCTCCAGCAACACAGCTCAAGGGCATCAATGAGTCATTGTCCAGCTCTCTGATGCTTAGCAAGTACTTACAAAGACACACCTTAGTCTGCAGAGTGACATCATTGCTCTTTAGTACTTTGGAGAGGTCTCTGACAGCAGACTTTCCCAGTGCAATTCATCTTTTAATTTCCTGGCTGCTGGTATTGTAGAGCCAAGCAAATGGAAGCTGTTGACAATCTCAAACTTATCACCATATATCATGATGCTGCCATTCGGCCCAGTGGTGAGAATCTTTGTTTTCTTGATGTTGAGCTTCAATCCAATCTATGAAGGCTGCAGTTCTTGACCTTCTGCAGCAAGTGCTTCAGGTCCTCCTCAGTTTCAACAAGCAGGGTTGTGTCATCTGCATAATGCAGATTGTTGATGAGTCTAACTCCAATCCTGATACCACACTTCTTCTCGTATAGTCCAACCTCCCGAATAATCTGCTCCACATATAGATTAAAAGATATGGAGATAGGACACATCCTTGACACACACCATTCCCAGTTTTGAACCATACGGTCTTTCCTTGCTCTGTTCTGACAACTGCCTCCTGGTCCAAGTATAAGTTTGGCAGAAGCACAATCAAGTGTTCTGGGATTCCCATTCTTCTCAAAGTCAGCCACAGTTTGTTGTGATCTACACAGTTAAATGCCTTTGCATAGTCAATGAAACAGAAATAGACATTCCTCTTGTACTGTCTGCTCTTAGCCAAGATCCATCTGACATTAGCTATAATATCCTTAGTGCCACAGTCTCTGCCAAATCCAGCTTGGACTTCAGGCAGTTCTCTGTTGATGTGCTGTTCCGGTTTTTTTTTTGGATAATTTTTCAACAGAATCTTGCTTACATGTGGTATCAATGATGTTGTTCTTGTTGTTCTGTGCCGTCGAGTCGTTTGCGACTCATAGCGACCCTAGGTATAACAGCCCTAAACCGTGCTCTATCCTGTGCCAATCTCATTGCCTCTGACACACCCATCCTGATTACCCCAGTCACTGAATCAATCTACCTCACAGAGGGTCTTCCCCTCCTGCACTGTCCCTCTACTCTACCCAGCATGATGTC